TTTTTTGTATTTTATATGCTTATAAGCTAGTTTTTTTGTCAAATAAAATTTGTTACTCAGCTATCTTATTAGTTACCAACTAGCTAAGCTAACTTATCAGTCATCAACTAGTTTGTCAAACATAGCCTAAGTATTAAAATATATAGAAAAGATAATTAAAGTCCATTAATTATGATCAACGTTTTATATTAGAAAATAATCAGGATATTTTATGAAACCACATATTTATTAGATTAGATCATTAGATCGAGGATCAAATATCATCAAAAGATTTGTATACACTCTTGAGAGTTATTTTATGGTGTTTTCCTTTTGTTTTGTTAAAGCAAAAGATTAGATCATTAGATCGTGAATCAAAAGATTTCACGTGAAAGGAACTTTATGCTGTTTTCCTTTTGTTTTGTTAAAGCAAATATGAGAGTTATTTTTCCAAATGCACAAATAACGTTCACATTATAATTATGAGTTCATATTGTTTTCTTAGTTATATACACTCTTGAGAACATCSAGGTTTCTTTGCAATCATCTCGCTTATATTTCCCACAAGAAAGTTTTGATTCAATTAATATATAGGATCCTTCAAGCATAACTTCGTCAATGGCGTCTTCCTCAACTTCATMTGTTCAGACGAGCTTTAAGTATGATGTTTTTTTGAGTTTTCGAGGTAAAGACACTCGTAAGACATTCGTTGATCATCTCTATCATGCTCTTCAGAACAAAAGCATCCACACTTACAAAGATGACGAGAGAATCAAGAAAGGGGAGAGGATCGRTGATGAGCTCATCRAATCCATTGAAGACTCAAAGTTCTATATAATTGTTTTCTCCAGGAACTATGCATCTTCATCTTGGTGCTTGGATGAGCTTGTAAAGATTATGGAGTGCCAGACGATGACTGAGCATACTGCTTATCCCGTCTTCTATGATGTGGAACCCACTGAAGTCCGCCACCAAAGTGGGGAATTTGGAAAAGCTTTTGCTAAACAAGAAAAGAAAGAGGATGCTGAAAAATGGAGAAAGGCTCTAAAAGAAGCAGCCGATCTTTCTGGGTTTGAGTTGAAGAACACTGCAGATGGGTAATTCATCCATATCATTTCGTACTGATTCTTTGTAATCTACCTTTACCCTATGATGTGAAACCGTCATCCATGCGAGATCATGTTGTGTTGTCAAATTCTAACTCAAACCTGAGTCCCTATTGAAAGATAAAACATGTGATATGATTACATGACACTCTTAATGACTTCGTATTCACATGTATGTTATAGATCTGAATTTAAATGAATTGTTCATGTGGGATTTTGAGCAAGCTAATTTTGTCTTATTTAAATACACAGGCATGAAGCTAAATTTATCCAAAAAATTGTGGAAGAGATCTCACTGGAGTTGCGATCCATCAATTTCAGCGTCGATGAAAAATTARTTGGCATGGAGGCTCGAATAAGTGATGTTGTTTCATCTTTAGAAACAAGTATTGATGACGTTCGAATGATAGGAATCAAGGGGATGGGAGGTGGTGGGAAGACAACTTTGGCGAGAGCTGTTTTTGATCGAATATCATTTCGGTTCGAAGGTAGCAGTTTTGTTGAGAATGTTAGGGAGAATTCAAATCCCAATTTATCCCATTTAAAGGAGTTACAGAACCAAGTCCTTAAAGATGTGCTAAAGGATCAGGGCATTAATATAAGTAATGTTCATGATGGGAAAAAGATGATAAAAAGGATGATGAGTTGTAGAAAGGTTCTTATTGTTCTCGATGATGTGGATCATGTAGACCAACTTAAGGCGTTAGCGGGTGAGCTTAATTGGTTTAATAAGGGAAGTAGAATTATCATCACAACAAGAGATGAGCAAGTGTTGGTAGCACACAAAGTAGTCAACTCAAATATTCACGATGTCAATCTATTAACAGATGACGAAGCAATTTGCCTCTTGAGTAGGTGTGCATTTGGGAACGAGAGTCCAAATCCTGGGTACGAAGAGCTATCAAGAAACGTTRTAGGTTATGCTGCTGGTCTMCCCTTRACAATCACAGTTTTGGGTKCGTTTCTCTGTGATGCAAASRAGSATGTATGGATAGATACCCTCGCAAGACTTGAAAAAATTCCATTGCATGAAACTCTACAAAAGCTGGAGTTAAGCTATATGGGTCTWGATACCGATTGCAAGGAAATATTCCTAGATGTTGCATGCCTATTGAAAYGGTGGAYGAAAGAAGAAGCAATCATAGCGCTTGAAAGYCGTGGATTTCATGCTATACACGGTTTGACTGTTCTTCAGAACAGATCTCTTGTAACTATTTCTAAAGATGGGCGCTTGACGATGCATGACCATATAGAAGAAATGGGGAGATACATTGTTCGTCGTTCGAACCTTAATGAGCCTGCAAGACACTCCCGATTGTGGATTACGGAGGAAATTGAAGATATATTGGTTAACGATTTGGTGAGAATCAAATTTACTTGTAAAGTTGAAAAACACCAACAAATTTTCAATCGTCATGACCTAAGTAAGTTTCACTAGGGGTGTAAATGATGCGAGTCGATTTCGAGTATCAATATACTTGATTCAAACTCGATAGCCATTTCTCAAGTTCGAACTCGACAACCATTTCTCAAGTTCGAACTCGACAGCCATTTCTCAAGTTCGAACTCGACTCGAAAACTCGCAAGTAGTTAAAACTAAACTCGACTCAAACTTGATTGCAATTTTTTAAACTCGAGCTCGAACTCGAACTCGAATCAAGCTCCAACTCGAACTCGAATCAAGCTCACCCGCGAAATTTATGAAATTTTAGGGATATAAAACTTAAATGTGTTCTCTTAAATTTTAAAAGATTAAAGAACTGCACCTTAAACTTCATCATCAAAAAAACAAAGTTACAAACTTCATTCATCTCCCTCTCTTTTTATAACACATTTTCATTCTTTTTTTACTATCTCTATTCCAATGTGGGACAATTTCAGCAAAATTTTTGTAGTTTCTGTCTTTTTTTAATTATGATTTTAGTAGAAAAATCTGTTGATTAGTTTTAGAGTTAAAAATGTACAATATTGTTCAAACATTAAAAAATATACGACATTTTTATTACATTATATTGTACATATTATATTATAAAACTGATTATATTTTTAAACTAATTATATATAAAAAAGATCGAGTATCTCACGAGCTTTTGAGTCGAGTATTGGGTAGCTTGACTCGACTCGTTAATATATTTCGAGTCGAGTTCGAGTTTTGAGCCGAGCCTATTCGAGTCGAGTTTTGACCAAGTCGATCTTGAGTACCTCGCGAGTTGTCTCGTATCATTTATACCCGTAAGTTTCATGGTCAATACTTTTGGATTTCAGGGGACTGAAGCAACATGTATAAAGCTGTGGGTGGAAAAAGTCAATAAAAAAACTATTATGAAAGGCCTTAGAAAGATGGAGAAACTTAGATTTCTTCGCTTGATGCAATACTTATCAGAATTGGACTTTGATGAAGATTGCGATTATTTACCAGATTCTTTGCAATATCTAAAGTTGGAAGTTGGCTTTTTACATGTTTTACCGAAAGCATTTCAAGGAAGTAATCTTGTTGCTCTTGAAATTCCTTTCATGGAACAACTTTGGGAAGGGGGAGAGAGAAAGGTAAGAGTAATGGTTTTGCATCATTTATATATTATGACACTACACATCTATTGCTCTCTTTTTACACAYTCTCCATCTTTTCTTTTTCTTATCATAGGTTCTTCCCAAACTCCGATTCCTTACGCTCCGTTGGTCATTTTTGACGACCTTTGACCTTGGGCTAACTCCAAATCTTGAGATATTAAATCTTGAACGTAGTCGTGATTTGGTAGAATTTCACATGCCTCTTCCATGCCCAAAGCTCAAATCCCTCAACCTCAATCGTTCAAAGTTGAGTACCCTTGACCTTAGGTTGGTCCCGAATATCGAGACGTTGAATCTTATGGAATGTTCAGATTTGGTAGAACTTCACATTCCATGTGAATGTCCACAACTCAAATTCATCAACTTGAGTAGTCCAAAGTTGAGGTCCCTTGACCTTATGTTGGTTTCATATATCGAGACATTGAATCTTAATGGGTGTTGTGATTTGGTAGAACTTGTCATGCCATGTAAATGTCCACAACTCACATCCCTCAACCTGAGTGGTTCAAAGTTGAGGTCCCTTGACCTTAGGTTGGTTTCGAATATCGAGACACTGAATCTTCATGGATGTAAGGATTTGGTAGAACTTTGCATCCACCGTGAATGTCCACATCTCAAATCCCTCGACTTGAGTTGTCCACCTTCTTTGAGGTCCCTTAACCTTGGACCAACTTCGGATTTCGAGATATTGAAATTAGAAGAATGTGATTATTTGGTAGAACATGACATGTTCCTTGAATGTCAACAACTCAAATCCCTTGTCCTTGATATTCCAACGTTGAGGACCCTTGACATTGGGTCAATTCCGAATCTCGAGACATTAAAACTTCAAGGATGTTATAATTTGGTGGAACTTCGCATGCACGAAGAACGTTGCAAACTAAGAACCCTCAGCCTTGGATGTCCACAGTTGAGGACCTTTGACCTTGGGATGACTCGGAATCTTGAGGCTTTGACTCTTGATGGGCATGATGATTTGGTACAACTTCTCGTTTCCAGCAGATGTCAACAACTCGAAGACCTCGAACTGATTAATTCAAAGTTGAGTACTCTTAAGCTGACCCTTAATCTCAAAAAGTTGATTCTTACATCTTGTGCTTTGGAAGAACTTCACATCCCCGTTGGAGATGTAATGCTCGTATCTCTGGACATCAAAGGATGTTCAGAGTTGAAGACCCTTGACCTTGGGCGAACTCCAAATCTCAAGAGTTTACATCTTGAAGAATGTTCTAGTTTGGTAAAACATCTTGCTCCCATTGGAGGTCTAAAAAACCTCACCAACTTAAAAGAAAAAGGTGTTTTGAGGTTTACAAATTTAAATATTCAGGAAAGTTATGGATTATTGTTACCTAGGTTAGATCTGCAGGGAAAGTTGATAGATACATGCCCATTGCACCCCGATGATAATTTCCCCAAGTTTCAGTTTGATTGTACATATCGGGACAATCTACCCTCATTGATTGGAAATGTTGAGAAGCTTATTTCGGTAGGTTCCTCTTGTGCTTGCACAGACCTTGAGAGTTTTTTCGGAAGCATTTGTGGTTTACAGCACATAGCATCCCTTACACTTGAATGCGATATTCCAGAGGCGCCCAAAGACCTTGACAACTTACAATGTCTAGTGCAGCTCGCTTTGTCGTCTCCAAGTATTAAACATCTTCCTGATAGCATTTTATCGTTGAAACATCTGAAATATCTCAATCTTTTTGATTGTATGCTTCTTGAGAAGTTACCGGAGGAGTTTGGCAGATTAGAATGTTTAGAGGAACTGCGTTTGAGGTCTGAAAAGATTAAACATCTTCCGTATAGCATTTGTATGTTGAAACATCTGAAATCTTTCGAACTTTATTGTGAGCTTCTTGAGAAGTTACCGGAGGATCTTGGACGATTAGAATGTTTAAAGAAGCTATATTTCAGGTCTAAAAAGATTAAACATCTTCCAGATAGCATTTGTATGTTGAAACATCTGAAATCTTTCAAACTTCATTGTGAGCTTCTTGAGAAGTTACCGAAGGATCTTGGTCGATTAGAATGTTTAGAGAGGCTAAAACTAAAACGGTGTCTAGTTTTACGAGATATTCCGAATAGCATATGTAGGTTGAAAAGTCTAAAGTGTCTCAGTCTCCACGATTCTATTAGAGTTGAGAAATTTCCAGAGGAACTTGGACGTTTAAAATGTTTAGAAAAGTTGGATATACGAGGTACAAGCATAAATAATCTTCCCCCGAGCATTTCATTGTTAGGAGGTCTGAAAATTGTTCGATCAGAAGACGGAACAACCACAACCACAACAACAGGAGGCTGTTGTACTATACTGTACCATATTTTCTCTTCTTGGCACGAATGGGTCTTACTGCACTGCATCAATAACAGGATGTAGAGACGAAGAGGGGGCTGAAAATGAGGTGCTTACTTATTCTTGACATGAATCAAGTGGGGTATCAATCTGTTGCATGACTATTTCTTTAAACATGCTTCATTTTGTTTCTTCAGGGATGTCATCTTTATGAAGCTATCATTCAAGAATGGACTCAGCAGGTGCAGGATATGTTAATATGAAGAAGTTTGCCGTGGTTGAGTACTATTCAAAGGTGTTGTTTTTACATAACTCATGATTTCATATAAATTGAACCTTAAATGCACATCTTTCGAGCACTAATTTATGGTGGTTGCATGCTTTTTTTGGTTATGTTGTTTTTTTTTGTGTGCTTAGGCTCTGCGTTTCAGAAGTTCATTGAATAGAAGGATCATGCCCTCTTCACATGCCGTCTAATCTTCGGTCTCAATGGTTTGATCCTGCAATTCCAACTTAACTGTTGTTGTTCATGATTCTCATGGTGAAGCTCTGATTCATCTCTGCAGATTCTTACCTAAATGATCTCTTACAGTTCCAAAAAAAGGAAGGAAATTTCCAGGGAATTCACAGAAGTCACGGCTAAAGAAAAGAAGGAAGAAAAAGAAAGAAGAGGATGTGGTAAAAACACAGGGCTGGGTTTGGAGGGCAGCACATTCGGTCAAGGAGAAGGCACCAAAATAGAGGGGCTTCCGAGTGGTTTTATATGCACAGAAAACAGGGGCTGTTGGGGCATTGTTAACAGAACCGTAAGGGGCTGCTGGAGGCTTGAGGGGGGCTGTTTTGACAGCACAAAAGCCATCAACGAACGAAGCTTGGCTGTTGCGTTCCTTGTAACAAACAAGAGCTTTGCTGGGTTTTGATTTGGTAACATGAAYCGAGAGCGGGCAGCAGCAGGTACTCAAAACAGAGGTGATTTTCTTGTTCAGTTGTTTCGTTTGATCTACATTAAAATGACTCATTATTCTTCGTTGGTTTTGCATATTGGAGAGGTTTTTGGCAGTGACATTCAAACATTGCATTGATGATATTTGGGTTACAGAAGCTCTGTTTTTCCACCAGGTGTCTTGACATTATGTATATATCTATACATATATTTGCTGGAACAATGCATCAACATCAAGAAAGTATTGGAATGTCCGTTACCATTGTGAGCTAAATCTGTTTCAAGGTCGACCCGATGTGAAAATTCATATGTGATCCCATTTTGGTTTGTTTTCTTAGTTATATGTTCATTTTAATTTGTATAAAAAGCATAAATATGTCGATTGGGACAAAACGTGACAGGTTTTGTCGGGTTTTAAATATTTAATGGTTGATTTGTTTGTATGTGTTTCAATTGGATGTGTTATCATGATCGATTAGCATCCGTGCCAAACGCAATAGTGTCGGCGGGAGGACGGTTGGCTTGGATATGCATGGATTATGCTGGGGGTTGGATTAATCCTTTGACATGTTGATTTAGGTAATGCATTTAAAATTGAATGTTGCATGAAAAGAAATTGAATTAGTTGTTAATAGAATCATCAACAAATAGTATTCAAATAATTCGAAAAGGTTAATAAAATCTAATTAGTGAAATTTTAATATATATATATATATATATATATATATATATATTTATATATATATATCTATACTATATTATAAAATATTTGACAAGAACTCTTAAAAACCACTTTTTATACGTAAAGTACTGTTTATTAATGCATATTACTTAAAACTCAAGATTACAAGTAGATTGTGCGTAAGTATAACTTATTAAAGCTCTATATCTGAATTTGTGTAACTAACTGCAGATAAACATAATCAAATACAGGATAAACATCTCATTTTAAATATAAAAAATCTAAAATATAATTAAGATAATCATTGAGTTTTAACAGAATACATAATTATTATCTTTATAAAATGTTATATTATTAAACCAAAAAATAAATTATTCCATTATTAAACTTAAATTAAATTATAATAAAAAAAATTAAAGAAATTACATAAAAAAATGATATATATATATATATATATATATATATTTTTTAAATTTTTTATGATATCTTCACATTTATATTTTATTTAAAAATAAAATCATTATTGTTTTTTAAAAACACATAAAATCGCATTATTATAACATCGACATAGACAAATAATAAAATAGAATATTAAAATCGAGATGTGTCTCGCTGCATTGCGCGAGTATTCTTCTAGTATGTATATATATATATATTTAGAAATAAAGTTGTAAAATCAAATAAAATGAATAATAATAATGACGGAGGTGTGGATAATATCTACACACATACATATATACACATTCTTCTTAAAGGAAGAATGAACAGAAAGAAGTACCAATTTACCATTAAAAATCTCTTTAACAAGAAAGATGAAAGAATGGTGGGTCTTTTCAATACTATGTCTCTTCAATTTTCTTGTTTTTTTTTTTTTTTTTCGTTTTTCCATTTAAGTTAAACCTTAATAGAAGAAAGCTATTATGAAATGCTTAGGAAAAAAAGACATAATCTCTAAGCTTATAATATTGGGACGTCATACTCAATTATGAGTAAATGACATATATACCCCTAATCAAGTGAGCACAAGTTGTCAAAATTATGAAGAAGGAAGTCTCTCTTTTCGTCAGCAGTTGGTTGTCTATGCCAACATTCTCTCTTGACCATCCGATGATGCTCTCACGATCTCTGACTCATAAAAATTGTTTTATATGGTTAAGCTCTTACCACATCTATTTATACCATAATCATATTGAATCGACATTAATAAGTATTATTAGACAACAGAAAAATACGTTTGTGACTCCTCCCCCATTTGGACAATCATTGATGCTTAAGGAACTTTATGGCTTTTTTCTTTCTAGTCATGATTTTCTACCACGTTAAGCAAATCACCCTTTCTGTTTCACACTTTCATCAGGTTTAGGTCTTCCAAACCCGTTTTTAATAAGCAGGAAAAAAAGTTCGGGATTTTTACGTTTCGGGTCGGACTACATTTTGAGGTTGAAAAAAATGGTTCGATCGGCTGTCATACCGACACCAAAACTTTTGCCCAATTGAGCTTTAAGGCCTAGCCAAACCCGGGCTAAGCCAACCTTTCATCGAGTCAGAACATACTAGATTCGGTCGAGGAAAAAAAATACTTACATAAAAAATATCATAAATATTTAAATGTAAAAAAAATAAAAAAAATATGTTACTGCTCGAGGAATCTTTTACATCACTTTTGATCAAACAGATGGTCTTTATTTTCTGACTCAGTTTCACACTTAATCTGAATGTATACTGTTGTCCGTATTGTTGATGTTAATGTGTCAAAAAATGAGAAATATAAAGGTTTGTAAAGTTATTTATTCAACAATATTTAGACAATGATATCTATATATATATATATATATATATATACTATATTATAAATCATTTGACAAAAACTTTTAAAAGTCATTGTTTATGCATCAAGTACTGTTTATTGATGCATATTATTTAAAATTCAAGATTTCAAGCAAATTGTGTGTATGTAGAACTTATTAAATCTCCATGTTTGCATTCGTGTAACTAACTGTAGATAAATATAATCAAACACTGGATAGGTATCTCATTTTAAATATTAAAAATCTAAAATAAATTTAGGATAATCATTGAATTCTAACAAAATATGAACTATTATATTTATAAAAAATTATATTATTAAACCAAAAATAAAAGACTTCATTATTAAATCTAAATTTAATTATAATAAAAAATGGAATTAAAGAAATTTCACAAAAAAAAAAAAAACTTTTAAAATCATATTATAATATCAACAGAGACTATTTAAAACGAAACATTAAAATCAAGATTATCTTGCTGCATTAAATAACTAACATTCTAGTAATTAAATAAATAAGTAAATAATATTTGAATCATCATCATATTTGGTTTATTTATTCCAAATTTGTCCCTCTTTTAAAAGGATCCCAAAAATAACATTATAATTTGTCTCATCATATTTTTATACTTTTTATAATTTGTACCATGAATTGAATCAACAAAGTTATCATTGATCAAAATAAGTGGAGTGAATTATATTTTATGTCCCTATGGTTTGGTGCTTTGACAGATATCGTCTCATATTTTAAAAAATTAACTGAATTACGTTCCTCTTGTTGCAATTTTTTTTAATGAATTGGGTCTCTAATGCAACCACGAGAATTTAATTTGTTGTTTATCCAAGACCCAGTTCGTTATAAAAACAACAAACATAAAAACTTTGATTGTTAGAAAAATACAACCACACTAACATAACTTGTTAAAAAGATGCAATTTTATAGGGGCATGTTTTGTTAATTTTTCATACTAGGGATGAAAATAGTAAAAACCATCAAACTTTAGGGACTAAAAATGTAGTTCACTCTAACAGTGACCAACTAGAATTGGTACAACCAGTGTAGTCATATCATATCTCCACTAACTTAAACTCACAGGCTGTATATGTCAGCATCCAGCTTTTCTTTTTTTAAGATTTAAGAAAAATTTTAAAAAAATCTAATAGATTTTAGTGCTTGAAATAATTAAGTTTTTAGATAATTTTATTAGAACAAATAATTTTTTGGACATTTAAAAACTTGTTAAATAATTTATTGGACTTTTTAAAACTTGTTATATACATTCTTATGACATATAAAACTGATTAATATGACAAAATAATGAAAAAAATCTGGAAAAAAAAACCCAATGGAAATTCGTATTTTGAATGATTAAGTTATTAATTATTTTTTGAACCAAAAAAGTACTTACATCTATAAAATAAAACAAATATACCAAAAAAATACTTACATTTAAAAAATATTCTTGATGAAATTTATTTTAATTAAAAATAAAAAATAATGTCAATGATTTTCTAGATTAAAATAAATAAAATATTTAGTTACTTATTAAATTTATTCTAATTAAAAATCAAATATATTTTATATATGATTTTTTAAATTAAAAAAATAATTTTTAAAAAAAAGAATAACTGATGAAATTTATTTTAATGGAAAATAAAATATATTTTATTGGTGATTTTTTAAATTAAAAAAATAATTTTTAAAAAAAAGAATAACTGATGAAATTTATTTTAATGGAAAATAAAATATATTTTATTGGTGATTTTTTAAATTAAAAAAATAGAAATATTTGATTAAATTATTAATGAATTAACTACAAAATTTAACTAAATACATAATTAATTAAAATTCGTTTTTTAACTCTGTTTTTAGAAGGATTTTCGACGGATAAGTTCATCGAAAAAGTTGATTAGTAGTGTATGCATGCATTGCAGAGAAAGAGTAACAAATTTCATCAAAACACACAAGGTACAAAAATGGACCTAAATATTCTATCCATAATTTTTTTATTTTGGTTAGGGATCAAACTGTAAGTTTTATATATCCACATGGACTAAATCTGTAATTTACTCTTCAAAGGACAATCATTTCTATCTATTGTTCTCCAAACAAACATAGCACTTTCACATATCCATCACCTTCTTCAGGGTTATACATCTCATCTTTCAATCATACCTTCAATGGCGTCTTCTTCATCAGCTTCATCCATTCCCAACACCAGCTTCAAGTACGACGTATTTCTGAGTTTTAGAGGTGAAGATACTCGTAAGAGCTTCGTCGATCATCTTTACGAGGCTCTTCAGAAAGAAAGCATTGAAACTTACAAGGATGACAAGAATCTTGAGAAAGGGAAAAAAATCAGCAAGGAGCTCATTCAAGCCATTGAAGAATCACGAGTCCATGTCATTGTTTTCTCCAAGAACTACGCATCTTCGTCTTGGTGTTTGGACGAACTTGTCATGATTACGGAGTGCCAAAAGAGGCAGACTGAGCAGACCCTTTACCCCATCTTCTATGATGTGGAACCGACTGAAGTCCGTAAAGCATTTGGAGAAGCATTTGCCAAATGTAGAAAAGAAGAGTCTGAAGAGAAATGGAGAAAGGCTCTACAAGATGCATCATCGTTCAGTGGGAGGGACTTGAGGACCACCGCAGATGGGTAATTCTTTCATTTTGTTTCTTCTCGTGTTTTATCAAATCCATACAAGGATGACGAGAGAATCAAAAAGGGGGAGAGGATAGGTGATGAGCTCATCAAATCCATACAAGACTCAAAATTCTATATAATCATTTTCTCTAAGAACTACGCATCTTCATCTTGGTGCTTGGATGAGCTTGTAAAGATTATGGAGTGCCGGAAGACAAGTGAGCATACTGCTTACCCTGTCTTTTATGATGTGGAACCCACTGAAGTCCGCAAACAAAGTGGGGAATTTGGAAAAGCCTTTGCCAAACAAGAAAAGGAAGAGGCTGCTGAAAAATGGAGAGATGCTCTAAAAGAAGCAAGCGCTCTGGCTGGGTGGGAGTTGAAGAACACTCTTGATGGGTAATTCTTCCGTAATATCAAATCAACTTTTATGCCATATTATGTCATTTTGATTCTTTCTAATCTACTTTTACCCTGGGATGTAAGAGGGTCATCCATGGCATCTTATTTTGTTATGCCAAATTTTAACTAGAACTTGAGTCTTGTTGAAAGATTGAACATGAAATATGATTATATGAATATCTTAGTTACTTCATATACATATCTATGTTATAGATCTGAAACTAATGGTTCATGTGGGATTTTGAGCAACCTAATTTTATCTTCTTTACTAAACAGGCATGAAGCTAAATTTATCCAAGAAATTGTTCAAGAGATCTCACTAAGGTTACGATCCATCAATTACAGCTTTGATCCAAAATTAGTAGGCATTGGGGCTCGAATAAGGGATGTTGTTTCATCTTTAGAAACCGGTATTGATGATGTTCGTATGATTGGAATCCTTGAGGCAAATGCAGGATGTTTCATTAATCTTACATAGGCTAAGGTTCTCATTAATCAACTACGACTCTTCAATTTTTGTCATTAATTAATAAATGGACCTTGGATCTTTCAGCTTGTAACAGAATTGTTGATATGATTCTGTTTGTTCCATGTATTCTTTATCTAAGCATCATACTCTGCTCTATGAGTAATTATATTAGTTATTTTATTATCAGCTTATAATAAACTTTTACATCTCGCTAAAATTGTGTGGGTACACAACTAGTATTCAAGAATACAAGTAACTACAGTTGTCCTATGTTCATCGTGCGTTGGTCTTTCTACATGTCTAATCACACTGTCGTGGTCTTCATGGAAACAACGGCTCTATTGGTTGTTGTAGAGGTTAGGTTTGTGTACATCTCACCCTCCCTAGACCCTCTTTTGAGTGAGATTTATTGGGTTTGGTTTGAAAAGATGGGTTCCGTTGATAGCATCCACAGCATTGAATGGTTCATCGAATAGGTTAATTATCAGCATCTTGGTATAGAGCTAGTGCATGCAATTTGTATTCTCTGTTTATGGCCTCTGCTCAAATTGATTCGCCTCTCGCCTATAACTGTTGGTTCCCAAACGAGAATAATCGAATTTAAAATACATTTTTCAAGTTGTGAGTTTTAAACTTTGGCTGCTGAGTATTTAAAATAGTTCTAAAGTTAGTCAATCGGTTTAGTAAATTACATATGACATGCCGCCCGTAAACTTGTTTGATAATTTGTTTTCAGACAACATCCTTTTAAGATTCATGATTTTGGACCGCTTTTGAACACTTTTACTCCATCAGAAGTGTAATATTAGAAGGAAAATCTGTAATTTACCTTTAGAGCTTTATTAATGTTCTACAAGGAATCATGTTTTTAAGGCATCTTTGTTTCTCTGCTTGATTTCACACTTTTTCCTAACACACTTATCACCTTGACGATGCACAATGTTGGTATCAGTTTATAGCAAAATAACAAATGCTAAAAGTGATTACTTGTCATATTAATGGCGTCTTCTTCAACTTTCATCCATTCAAAAGAGCTTTAAGTACGATGTGTTTTTGAGTTTTAGAGGTGAAGACACTCGTAAGAGATTCGTTCACCATCTTTTTCAGCCTCTTAAACTAAAGAACATGAAACTAGACGCATCTTCATGTTCATGTTGGTGCTTGGACGAGCTTGTCAAGATTATGGAGTGCTAAAACACACACACTGAACAGACTGTTTACCCTATGATGTGGAACCCGTTGAAGTCCACAATCAAAGTGGGGCATTTGGAGAAGCCTTTGACGAGCATATAAGAAAGAGGATACACGAAAATGGAGAAAGGCTCTAGAAGATGCAACATATTTCAGTGGGTGGGACTTAAGGACCAGTACTGCTGATGAGTAATTCTTTCAGCTTGTTTCTTCTCGTGTTCTATCGTCAAACTTTTACTCGAACTTGAGTACTTTTCTTGAAAGATTAAACTGAAATATGATTATATATGTGACTCCATTATTAATTCTTATATGTTTGTATTTTGTAGATATAAAAGTAATTATTCATATATATGGGAGTTTGAGAAAGCTAATTGATTCTTCTTTAACGCACAGGCATAAAGCTGAATTTATTTAAAATAGTTGTGAAGGAGATTCCAATAAAGTTGCATTCCATCAGCGTTTAATAAGCACGAGGACTCGGATAAATGACGTGGTTTTTTTTGTTTATGATAGGTTCTTAAGAATCTCATATTTCTTAATTTTAACTATTCAAAGTTGAAGAGCCTTGATCTTGTTCTAACTTCGAATCTCGAGAAATTAAATCTTAAACATTGTGTTGATTTGGTAGAAATTCACATTCCCGTTGAAAGTCGCCTAAATCTCAGATGCCTCGACATCAATTCTTCTAAGTTGAGGACCCTTGACCTTCGAGGGACTCCGTATCTCGAGACATTAAGTCTTAGAGGATGTTACAATTTGGTGGAACTTCACCTTCCCGTTGAATGCATAAAGCTCGAATCCATCGACATCATAGGTGCAAAGTTAAGGACCTTTGATCTTTGGTGGACTCCGAATCTCAGGAGGTTAAGTCTTACAGAATGTTATCATTTGGTAGAAGTTCATACACATGGTGGGTGTCTAAAAAAGCTTGACTACATAAACTTAAGTGGTTGTTTGAGATTTAAGTCTTTTTTGTTCAGAAAACAGTTTGAATCCGCTGAAGTTGGTTGTCTATCTAAGTTACATTTGATTGCAGAGTCCATAGAAATGTGCCCGTTGCACTTTGGCAATAATTTGCCCAAGTTTCGATTTGCATGTTTTTATGAAGAACATGGACTCTCATTGATCGGAAACCTAGAGAAGCTTATCTCTTTTGGTCTCTGTGCTTGCACAAATCTTGAGGGTTTTTCTCAAAGCATTTATGGTTTACGATGTTTAACAAAGCTTACACTCGAAGGTAAGGTAGTATTCCAGAGTCACCCAAAGACCTTAGACGGTTGGAATGTCTAGAGGAGCTAAATTTGTTGTCTACAAAGTTTACACATCTGCCGGATAGCATTTGTAAGCTAAAACATCTGAAATCTCTCAAACTTGGTCGTTGTTGGCTTCTTGAGAAGTTACCGGAAGATCTTGGTGGATTAGAATGTTTAGAGAAACTAATCCTATCAGATTGTGTATTTTTACAAGATATTCCAGACAATATTTGTAAGATAAAATGTCTAAGATATTTACATCTTTGGTACTGTGTTACTGTTGAGAAATTGCCAGAGGAACTTGGGCGTTTAGGATGCCTAAAAGAGTTAAATATAGAAGGTACAAACATAAGACATCTTCCGCAAAGCATTTTTGAGTTGAAAGGTCTGCGTATTGTTGGGTTTGAATGGCTTCTTGAGTCATATGGTTTTACATCCCAGATTCAAACCTCAGAAGACGAAACATTTGTAGAGCTGTGAGTAACATTCAGGCAATTTATCTCAGGAAATTTTCAAAAATTGCTACATGGGTTATATTCGTTTATTTTCAACTGTTCTTACAGGATCTTGGACGATATGACTTTGGTCATTCATGTAACGAGGTTGGAACAGGACTCTCATGTTCCATATCAGCAGAGATATATATCTTGTTGGACGTAAAAGTTTTGTCTTTTGCTTCATAGTAACTTAAATTGTTAAGATATGAGAACCGGGTCTTAGGCGATCTATGATTAATTGATGTTTTGCTTCAAGAAATGCGCGAAGACTGAAGACATTGTTTTAGGTGATCTATGTTTATGTTTTGTAACCCGACATTTTTTGGTTTATGTCCTCCGTTGTATTATATATATATAAAATCGATGTGGGGATGAGCTGCCTAGCTTGACTAGGTTCCAAACCCCTTAAAACTCAGTGTAATCTGTAATCTCTTCTTGGATATTTTTCTTAAAAGTGCCGTGGGATCTGTGGTTCTCATTCACATCCATTATATCTAAATGTTACATTCTTCCATCCTTCAAGATGACCATTATATACAGATATGTGTTCGTGTATATGTCCAAAGCAACGATGAGATCTGCATTTCAGGCAAAAACTTCACCTACATTATGTGAATTACCGTTTTCGGTTCCAGAAAACGTTATTCACTGAAATGTTGTTACTGTCAAGTAGTGTCAACTGCAGTTCTCGACCGATAGTTTCTGGTGCCGTCTTGTTGCTGATTTGCTGTTTTCTTGATGTTGGTTTGCTACTACAGCAGCTGTTGGTGTAATCATCTCTCTTAACCAGCCTCATCCTTGCAAACTCAACTCTTGTTTTGCTTGTGATGACTCCAAATAAGGAGTAATTGACTCTTGAGGGACAAGATGATCATTTGTTAGTCGAAGTTAAGAAATGGTAGTTGTTTCTTATCCTGATGTGTGGTTCACTTTCTTATGTCGACATTAATTTGTAGGACTACCTCTCCCTTATCATTTTGTGTCGTACTTCACGTCTTGACATAAATAGGTGGGTCACCTGGTTTGACAAATGGTGTAATGTATAAAATCGAGTAAATTATTTAATTTTCTACAAACTTCACAGTAAAATATTGTGAAGGTAAAAAAAAAATTTGAACCATCACAGCTAAAACATTATGAAGGTTACCTTTACATTGTTTTATTGTGGAGTTTCAAGTGTAAAAATGTAATCTCATGAAAATTGTCTGGTCTCACATGATCCCAAGTCTTGATAGTATTGTCAAGTTGTGAAACGTACTCAAGATCTAGTTATTTCTTATATTCTACGTCGCAATACGTCAACCCCTCTGATGTATGCAAAAATCATAAACTCATATAGTCGTTTTATAGGACATGACCTAGATTGTCAAAATGTCCTAATAGAATAATTTATAGAACTTAATTATAGGACTAAACTATAAAACGTCTTATTTAAAATAAAGTGTTACAATAGGTTTATAGGACGTTTTTTTGTGTTTTAACAAGTTTTTTGTAAGCTTCTAGAATAAAGTGTCATATTAGCTATTTTAGAGGACATTTTTGTAAAGGGTCCTATAAGCCCATCATTTTGTACGACACTTTTTCAAATAGTGTCGTATAAAATAGTCGATACGACACTTTATTTTGAATACGTCCTAAATTTTTTGTTAAAACGCCTAAAAACGTCGTATAAACCTAGCTATTGTAACACTTTTAGATATGTTTTTTGATTTGGTCTTATAAACTTAAGTCGTATAAAATATATTCTTTTATATTGTCATTTTAACTTTAGTCCCATGTTGTTCCACCTTTTTTTGGTGGAACAAGAAATATCAAGATTTGTCTCACTAAAATTAAAAATAGTCCCACCATGTCCTATGTTTTTTTTTGTCCATGGCATGCCAAACATGGGACTATTTTTTTTGTCCCGTCCTGTCTCATGTAGTCTGCATACCAAACGCACCCTTAAGAATTATCCCGATAAGAGACAAAACAAGGATCGAGAGTTTTATCCGTTAAGTGAAAGTGACGAGTCTTACCAGATAAAAATGTTTACCAGATAAAAATGTTATATACGATAACGTTTTAATAGATTAAAATCATAAGGAAGTGTTATCCCCATTCTTTCAGCCAAACATCAAGATTACGACCGAAGATGCGGTTACTACTAACGAAAGTGAGGTAGACGAACATACCATTTTTCGAGTCAAACATGTTCATAGGTTCATAAATCATATAATAAA